CATACAGGGGAGAAACATCCATTAGAAGTGATCTGAATTCGGGGTCTGAATGGCCCCACAAGAGCCCCCCGCCAGTGGGCACTGGGGGTCCTTTTAGAGCTGAAACCTGTGTTAGGTGGGCTGGGAGAGCCCAGCAGCAAATGGTCCTGCCTCCTTCCTCCCTGGGTTCCCCCTATATTGTGCCCTAGAACCCCTGTATGTGCAGGGAATCATATATACCAATGACAAGAAAGGTGACCTCACTTTAGACAAATCTGCTTGGTGAAGAAAAATGTACTCAATGAGACACTGTCATACATTAACAGATCCCCATAAGGCATCTTCAGATCTCCAAGTTTTATAACCAGAGTAGGGCTTGAGAGGCTGACTGGGCCACCTCACTGATTTTTACAGTTGGGGGCACTGACCCCAGGAGAGGAAGGCCCCAGAGCAGTGCCAGCCCAGCAGGGGCACAAACTCCCAGCTCTGGACTTTGGTGTCTCTTTCCTACATTTTGACTCTGCTTACATTTATGCAGGGAGCCATTCTCTCGCCTACCTCCACCCTAGGCGTGCCAGGCCTTTCTTGTATGCAGCTTTAAAAGCCTTCCAGAGACTGGGAAGTAAATGAGCTGGGCTGTTAGAAAAAAACTACTTTATGTGGGACATTTTCCCACCAGCGGGACTTCTGGATCTGGCTGGGCAGTGGCAAGGTCTCCTGCTGCTTAGGTGTTTTATTCTCTCTGGTAAAGATGAACAGCTGGAGGGAAGCCAGGGAGATAAGTGACAGAGAGGTGTGGCTCCAAGCCCAGCATCTTCCCACTGACTGGGTGTGAGGTGACCCTACAGCCGTCCCTAATGCCCTCTCCCCATGTCTTCATCTGTAAAATGGGAAGATAACTCCTACTGTGTGGGTTGTGAGGACTAAGTCAGGTGAAATGTTTGAAACATCTGGCACATAGGCCACAGATGCCAAGTTCCAGAAGTCAGATTCAGATATCCGGCCTCCTGGGTTTGCTCCCCAGCTCCGCTGCTCCCTGGCTTGATAGCCCTGTGCCAGGTCCTTAAATTCTCTTGGTCTCAGTTTCCTCGTATATAGTGTGGGGGTGACACATAGAGCTGGGTTCCCAAACTGTATGCAGAAGCACCCCTAGGTGGTGCAGAAAATTCACAGGGGTGCTGTGGGATATTTTAATCTTCAAGGAAAACACAGCAAGGCTGGACCATTGCCAGACACTGCTACAACTGCTAGCTTACACTTTCAACATTACATCACACTTCTTTCCTTTAGATGGCATCATAACTTTGCAAAGCTTGGGATTTTGGCATTTGGGATTTTGGCATTTGGGACTTGGCATTTTGGCATTTGGGAGTACCCTGAAATACACGGGGTGGGGAGGGGCAGTGCCCATTCTCATTCCAAGGTTTGAGATGTTGTACAGTGCCCAACAGGTACTCACGTCCCCATTAGTAAGTCACATGGCTATTTTTAAGAATGGAATATAAATATTCCTTTCAATTTATATGTATAATTTTTTTTAAATGGTACTGAGTTTCTAGGATATAAATACACACATGCATGTATACACACACAAGCTGTTGAGGTCTAACTATTTAATAAACAGAACTCCCAGGGATTTCTTTTGGCCTTGGGGTACCTTGAAAAATTAACAAGACACTAAAGACCAAAGTTTGAGAACCTCTGTGCAGGGTTGTAGTGAGGTTCAGTGGGCTGATCTGAAATGCCCTTTGAATACGCCTGGCTGGCTGAGCACCAGGAACCTCGAGACTCGATTATTCTTCTCCCTCCAAGCTGGGTGATCCACAGGACAGACTCAGGGTGATCCTCATCCGGGACGCCTGTGAGCCTCCCTCTGCCATTGGGGCTCAAGTCAGGGCCGAGGAGGAGGGAGAGTATCCGCTGGCTGGGGAAGGGGGCTCAGCTGAGCTGCTGCAAGGCCCTCACTTGCCCCTGCCCCTTTAATTTGTATTTACCAAGTACCTACTGCATGCCAGCCACTATGTAGTCTGTCCGTTTTCCCTCTGACCAGGAATCTCAGGTCAGGCCTGGATTCTTCTTCCTCTCGTCCTGGCAGTGCCTGGGGTGGGGGCGGGGGTGTTGGCAAGGGAGCAGTAGTTACATGCAGAGCCACCCAGTACTGCCATGACGAAGACGCCCTGGTGGGGATGCCGGGCCGTGTTCTGACCAAGGCGGAGAGGAATCTTTGCGCCAGGGCTGAGAGAAGGGGTGGGGCTGTGGGGCCACCAGACTCGGCCGCTGCACTAATGGATGTCTAATGTTTACCTTCCTCAGTCTCGTCTGCGCCTGCTTTATAAATGAGCCGCATTAAGGTTATAAAACAAAGTCATAAATACAGCCTGCAGAGAGCCAGGGTAGCGGTCACCTGGGGTGGCATGGTGGGAAGGTAGGGCAGCACACCACTGCACCCGCAGGCTGCCAAATACCTTCTCTCATGGCCACCATCCCGGAGGGAGGCCAGTGCCCCTATTTCATAAGGGAGGGGCCAGTAAGGCCAGTAGGGACTGGGTCAGACCCAGGAAGTCTGAGTCTGAGGTCTGCCATGAATCCCTCAGGCCTGAGAAGGGGGCAGGATCCTGGTTCAGGAAGGTGGGCATGGGTTCCAGTGGGCTCCCTGCTGCCCATGTCCCCTCTTAGCTTCTCCCTGAGCTGCCTGGCCTGCTACCAGCTCTCAAGCCACAGGGAAGCCAATGTCCAGATTCTGGGCACTGTCTTTTCTCCATCAACTGACTACACTCCCAAACCCTAGAGGCTGCCAACTTATCTACAGAGAATGTATCTCTCTGCCTGGCAGAGGGAAATGGGTATGGAGGAGCCCGGGCTTGGCCCAGTTTTTCTGCCCACTAACCAGTTGGCCTTGGGTCAGTCACTCTCCTGCCTTGGGTGGTCTTCAGTTTGCTCAATTTTGAAAAAAGGACCGTCCAAGCTTTGTTGGCCCTTTGGTGAGAGAGACCCCAGAAGCTGTAGTATCCCCACCAGTGTCAGGGTCTACTGGGATTCTCAGGTGTGGTGACACACCACAGTGTTATGAAGCTGCCCCAGGGGCAGGCAGTGTGCGCAACATCCCAGACTTTGAAGTCTGTTTCTTAGGTTCAAACCTTGATTTTGCCTCTTGCTATCTGTTTGCCTTTAGGCAAGTTGCTTAACCTCTCTGATCCTCAGTTTCAGAAACTGCGGGCTAATATACCTTACAAGGTTGTTGCAAGAGTTAGTAAGTTGTTCCAGGGCAGGGAGCGGGGCACCTGGGGACCACCCTGTTACAAGCTGACTACCTAAAGTACTGAGCATGATTGTTTGTTATTTCGATGCAGCAACTGTACCTACTGTGTGCTAGTGCCACCCCTTTCCAGATTCTCGTGCACATTTTTTTTTCATGTAATTCGAAAAACAACCCAGAGAGAGAGAAAGAGTATTCACTTCCTTGCCCTCTTCAGAGACCAAAGAGTAAGGTCAGAGTTAAGGGGTCACATAGAATAACCTGGATGGAGCTGGAGTCATATCCCATCTTGCTAGCGTTCCCTTTGCTCCTCCAGGTCACACCACACACACACACACACACACACACACACACACAGAGCCTGCCTCCCAGAGCCCAGAGCCAGTGACAAGCTAGGCATTTTCTCAGAGCTCTGGAAGCCCCTGCCCCAATCTTAGCAAGACTTTGTATCCCGGGAGAGACAACAGAACTTGGGCTTGTTGGGCTCATTGCCTTCATTCTGCTCTTGGAAAACCAAGTGTGCCCTAGGCATCTCTTCCCTAGGGCCCAGGATGTCCCCATTAAGGCCTCCTGGAATGGGGGTTTCATGGTGGGGGTTGTGTAAACAAATGCATGATCCCAGGGACCAGGCAGGCCTGCTGGGACTCCAGCCGCTCTGGTAACCAGCCAGGGTGTTGGGGCAGCAGCAGGAGTGCTGGCTGGGGCGGGGCTGGCTAGATAGGTGTGCCTTGCAGCTGAATTCTGTTTCCTTTGGAGCATTTAGGAGGGAGGATGAGCCCCCCACCGCTTGTCCCCAGCCACCTGATTACTCTATGTTTGGCATATGGATAGCCGATTTTCCTAAGTGGCTTGCAAACCAATAGCCTGGCCGGCCTGGTTTCCCTCCCTCTTAGCGCTGGCGGTGGCCACCCCCTCCCTTCCTGTTTGTCTCACCTCCTGAGGTGCTGTTCTTTCCAGGGAGGCGGAGGGCCAGGCTTTCCACTCAGCCCCCTTTGGGGAGGAGATTGCAGAGAGCCTGGCCTCCCTGCGTTCCCAGCCTCTGAAGTTTCCTCATCCGTATGGAGGAGGGTGTGGATTTGGCTGAGTCTAGAAAGGCTGAGGGGTGGGTCAGAGCTACAGAACAGAGGCGAGGAGGTGCTGGTAGAGGTGGCTAGGAAAGGGGTCTCTCCCTCCTCTGTGTAGTGGTCTGTCTGGGGCTTCTTGAGGAGAAGGTCTAGAGGGGGATGGGAAAGGTAGTGTGCCAGCTAGGGGAGTTGCTGCCCAGTGCCACTACCCCTCCTCACTCCACTCCCCTCACCCCACCCCATACCCCTGCGGGCCTGGCTTGGCTCCCTCTGTCCATCAGCCTGACTGGCTAGGGCTGTAAAGGGCAGCCATGGCTTCAGGGCAGAGCTGGCCTGGTTTGAGCTCCCGCCCGGGCCCCATTTCCAGCCCTTCCTTACTGTGGCTTCACCACAGGAAACTGGAGGGAGCTGGGCGGGGTGTGCATGGATGTTGAGGTGGGCCAGGGATGTCTTTGCACCATCTAGGCCCCCCTGATTGCTCCATCTGTGAGAAGCAGAATCCCACAGTACTGCAGCCTCTTCAAAGCAGGGTGGGCCAGGGAAACTGAGGTCCCAAGAGAGCCAAGCCTGGCCAGGTCACAGTGGGTAACTCCCTCCACCTCTCTGCCCCTCTGCCTTCCCTACCCTCTCTCTCAGCATGGGCCCCCCTGCAGTGGGGTGGGGTGCCACACTCTCAGCCTCACAGAATCCTCCCTCCACAGGCACTGATTCTGGCAGTGAGGTGCTCCCTGACTCCTTCCCGTCAGCGCCAGCAGAGCCGCTGCCCCACTTCCTCCAGGAGCCACAGGATGCCTACATTGTGAAGAACAAGCCAGTGGAGCTGCGCTGCCGCGCCTTCCCGGCCACACAGATCTACTTCAAGTGCAACGGCGAGTGGGTCAGCCAGAACGACCACGTCACGCAGGAGGGTCTGGACGAGGCCACCGGTGAGTCCCCCCACAAACCCCCAGGACTCCCGAGGTGCAGGGGTGGGGGGGCTTGGGTCTGGCTCTGCCTTGGGCTCTGTATAAGACTTTACACAGCACAGTGCCCTTCCGGGCCTCAGTTTCCCCTCTGGATCAGTAATTCCCCAGATGTTAGACACACATCACAGGCTGACTCTGGTGACCAAGTTAACTACCATGAACCCCTTTCTGATGCTCCCTTTCCTGGCTTCTTTCCATCCTGCTTACTGGAGGTGGGGAGGGAGAGAGGAGTACATGCACATGCACACGCACATGCCTGCTGTGCTCTCAGATTAGGAGGGGGCTCAAAGCCCTTTTATGCCCCTTGCCCTCCCAAACCCCAGATCATTCTGAGCTTTCTGTGTGTGGAAAGTAATACTGTTGAATGTTCACAATCATGATACAGCTCTTTTGTAGAAATTGATTTAGGTTAAAAAAGGTTCAAAGTAAGTAAATCATCATGTGGGTGGTGCTACAATGTACCCCAAATCCTGAGAGGAAAAAGAAGAGTGGGAATGGGTCAGGCCCTCCCTTTCCAGGCTCCTCATGCGTCCCAGAAACTTGCTGCCCTGTGGTGCCCCTCAGGCTAAGAGGCCTCTGCTGTCCCCAGGCCCCTGTGGCAGGTGCCTCAGGGTGGAAAGCCTCTCCCAGGGCTCAGGATGGAGGGGGCATCAAGCTGTGGGTCACCTTCAGGCAGCAGGCCTTTAGGCAGCCCCAGCCAACCCCAAGCTCAAGGTGGCCCCTGCACTGCCTTGGCTTCTGTCTCGTTTTTACTGTCTCCTTTTGGGTCCTTTCTTCTTCTCAGCCTTGCCTTCCTTCTGTCTCTCACTCCTCTTCCTCGATTCTCCTACCCCTCCCTGTCCTTCCTCCCCTCCCCCAGCCTATATCAGGGTTAGCTGTGTGGAGCTGGACAGAGCAGAGGGACAGTGTGCCCTGCCGTGATCCCTCTCACACCTGGTGATTATTGGTAATGGTGACAACAAGGCTCTTCTCCCTGCTACCAGGCATACAAGCCCAGCCAGCCCTAGAAATTGGGGCACCGTTGTCCCCGTTAGCTGGAAAGAATGGACAATGGTCCTGAGGCTGCTATCTTGGCAGCAGTGTGGCTGATTCCTGCCCTGGCCCTCCCTGGCTCTGCCTGAGGCCCACGACACAGAGGATGGCAGCAGTGGGCCAGGAAAGGCAGGTCAGGCCCACATACCAGTGCTTCTGCCCTGGGCCAAGCCCGAGTCCCAGGTGGCCACTTCGAGTGGCCCCCAATCCCAGCAGCCTCCTCCCTCCTTGTGTTCCCTGGCACCAAGCCCCAAGCTCCACTCCTGTGTAGAGCCCTCACCATCAGGAGGGGGCTCTCAACTGTCTGGGCTCCAGTGTAAAGACCCCTTTCCCCCCACAATACAGAAGAGGTAAGGCGATCACCCACTGGGAGAGGGCCAGAGAGGGTTAGGGCAAGACCCCAGAGAGCAGACCTCAGTTCTGCTGACAACTTAATATGGGAATTTGGGCCCACCACCTACCTTCTCTGAACCTCAGTTTCTCCAAATATAAAAGAAAGAGGCTAGATGAGATACAGATGACCTGCCAGCATTGATATGTGTCCAACCTGGGCTGGGTGCTGTGGCAGAGTCATTCTGTGACTCATTTAGAGTTACCCTGAGTCTTTTAACAAGGGAACTGAGTAAGGCTCAGAGAGGCTAAGTAACTTAACAAAAGTCACACAGCTGGGTGAAGCCAAGAGTCAAACCTGCCCATCTATCCAGTCCTACATTTAACCACAGGCCACAGACCACTATATGCACAGTCGATAGTCCTGTCCTCAGAATAGTCCTGCTTCTCAGAGACCATGGTGTCCTATCCAGGTGGGTTCATCCCTTTCCTGACTGTAGGAAACTGTCGAGGGAGGGTTGGCAGAAGACTAGGTGACACCCCCCCCCCCAACTCTGGACTGGGCGGGTGGATCCAATCATCCAGACCTGGCAGAGAGCCATGGAGAAGCCAGGGGCTCCCAGGAAGAGGAGCCTCCCCCCAGCTCTAGCCCCACAGGCTCTCTTCAGCTATTTTGGAGTATCTATTCTGTACCAGTCCCTGAACCACAGCAGATGATGGGGTAAAATCCACCTCACTCTCCTGCACTGGGCGTCTGTAGAAAATAACACAGATAACAGTTGGTGTTGTGGGAAATTAGGCCAGGCAGGGGAGAGCAAAGCCAACAGACCAGGTCCAGTGTAGAGGAAGGAGTGCTGAGCAGTACTCTGAGAGCTGGAGGATGTAAGGCCCAGCCTGAAGCTGACAGTGACCAGGAGGACACGGAGGAGGGTTGCCAGCAGGGCACTACATGTACAAAGGCCTAGAGACCAGAAGGGCCCAGGGACCATGAGAGACCAGAGGCACCCAATGAAGCTGCAGTGGCTAGATTCTGGAGAGACTGGAGGCTACATGGAGAACCTGGGTCTTCGTGTTGAGAGGGGTATGACTTGCCATTTTGTGCACTTTGAGAGCACACACTGGCTGCAGGTGGATTGGATGGGGGACAGAGAGCTGGCTTCAGCCATGGCAATGTCCAGATGGTGACTTGGGCTAGCGTGGAGACAGAGGAGAGATAAATGGAAATGAGAAGCACTTGGCAGAACCGCCAACAGGACTCAGGGGACAGGGGAAGTGGGAGAGAGCGATGTCACAGTGCCCTGTCCCTGGCTTGTCCTCAGACCCTCAGACCTGCCTCTGACCATGCCTCTCTCCACAGGCCTGCGAGTGCGAGAGGTGCAGATTGAGGTGTCCCGGCAGCAGGTGGAAGAGCTGTTTGGCCTGGAGGATTATTGGTGCCAGTGCGTGGCCTGGAGCTCCGCAGGCACCACCAAGAGTCGACGGGCTTACGTCCGCATCGCATGTACGCATCCCTGACACCCCCACCTGTTGCCCTGGACCACCTGTGACCCCAGGATTTCTACCGCTTATTGGGCTCCCACCTGTGCTGGACGCAGCACTTTTTCATCTACTTCTGTATGAGATAGCTGCCAGCTGCCTTCCAATCCTGACTCACCAAGTGCTTAGGGCGACCAAGGCAGGGAGGGAACTATATCCCTCACAGAACCCAGCCCATTCCACTTGGTGAGACTCCCACTTTGGGAAGAGAAAATTCCCCCGGTAAAGACCAGGTGTTCCCCCATAAATGATCCGTTGGTGTGTACTGCCACCTAGTGGCTAGACTGGGGCACTTCAGGCTTCCCCTCTTCTATGCGGCCTCCTCCCTACTGCACCTGACTGCCTGTACCCTCCTCTCTCTTTACCCAGACTTGCGCAAGAACTTTGATCAGGAGCCTCTGGGCAAGGAAGTGCCCCTGGACCATGAAGTTCTCCTGCAGTGCCGCCCACCAGAGGGGGTGCCTGTGGCTGAGGTGAGTGGGGTTCACCAGGAATGCTGGGCAAGGCAGGGACCTGCCAGGCATGGTGAGACATGATGCCTCAGCCTCCCAGAACCTTGCCCATTTCACAGATGGGCTATCAAGGCCTGAGAAAGAGAAGGGAACTGCCTCCCTGAAGAACTCAGCACATGCCAGACCCCAACTGGGCAGCTCACAAACGTAACCCCACAGGCTGCCAACAGGCTGGGGCAGAAGCCCCCAGGTCTCCTTGGGCTCAGTCTATTGCAGAGGAAGAGCCCTGAGCATACACACTTTCTCCTCCTGCCCCACCAGAACCCATGACCCCAGCTTTTGGGATGCCGAAAGGTGTATACTCATCCCAAAAACTGACCACCTCTTCCCTTTGCCACATAACATTTGGCTCCCTAGGCAGCGCTCACCTGTCCCTCTCACCTTTCCCGCCTACTCTCCGTCCACCGTAGTCAAGGTCAGAGCATGTCTCAGCCTCACTGTCGGGAGCTCTAGTAGAATAGGAGTTGGAGGCAGATCTTGTACTTCTACCTCTATCTCAGCCCCATGGAACCTCAGAATCTTGCTCTGGTCACTTAGCCTCCTCCCCATCGTATCTTCATGCAGTAAATGGGCCCAGACAGATGCCCTAGGTGGGAGCTACCGCCCATTGATCTCCCACCTGTCCTGGACACTCAGCACACTGTCTTCACAGCACCCCTGCAGGGTGGGTGTCGGCATCCCATGATGCCATGGGGAGATGGCGCCGGGCAGGGCGACCCAGCTCATGGCAGAGCTGGGACTTGACCCTGGTCTGCCAGACACAGGGACCATGTTTGCCTGCCAGGACTCTAACCCTGGCTAAGGGTGTCAGTTAGAGGAGATGCTGACGTAGGTCTTTCTGTGCTACTAGCTTATTTAGTAATTACTGCAAGCCAAGTGCTGTCCTCCACACTTTGCTTAGTCCTCACAATAGCCCTGTGGGGTAAATGCTGTTCAAGTCCATCTTTCAGTTTTTAAAACTGAGGCTCTGGTCTAAGCCCCTTCCCCAGGCTGCCCAGTAGTTGGGTGGCCATGTTAACCCTGTTAGGTGTCCTGCATAGTGCTTTGCTCTGCCTCACTGTGTCACCACTGTGCAGTGGACTTGGATAGATTGGACTGCTTTTCTGTTGATGGTCTGACCTCCCTGCCACTCCAGAGAGGGCCCATTCCCCAGGAGGCAGGTGTGCAGGCACCAGTCCTCACCCCCTAACCCCACTCCCACAGGTGGAATGGCTCAAGAATGAGGATGTCATCGACCCAACCCACGACACCAACTTCCTACTCACCATCGACCACAACCTCATTATCCGTCAGGCTCGCCTGTCGGACACGGCCAACTACACCTGCGTGGCCAAGAACATCGTGGCCAAGCGCCGCAGCACCACAGCCACAGTCATCGTCTATGGTATGGGCTTGGAGCAGGGGGAGGGCTCCTGGGGTTATATGGCCCACCTGACCCACCCTACCCAGAGGTCGTCTGTGTCCTGACAGAATTAAGGCTACAGCCCAGACCTGTAGGCTGTTCCCTGTCGCCCCTTGCTATGCCCTTCGGTGGGAGGGGCAGAGCCACAGAAAGGGGGGGCCTGTCCCGGGCTCCAGTCCCAGGCTCCCGTCGCTCAGGGTGACCAGACACAGGGGCCATGATTGCCTGCCAGGCCTCTAACCCTGGCTAAGGGTGTCAGTTAGAGGAGATGCTGATGTAGGTCTTTCTGTGCTACTAGCTTATTTAGTGAGTGTCAGCCCCTCCAGGCCTTCATTTACTATTGAACAATGGGGAGGGCCATAAATAATGACCTCTGGATCCCCCACAACCCTGGCGATGGCCGCCCCGGCCTCCCCTCTGGCATCTGAGTCCCCAGACTGGCAGGCAGGAAGGTCTCACTAGGAAGGGCCAGGCCTCTGTGGAGGGGCCTCATCAGGAATCAGGGATGTGCTTTGGAAGGCCCAAGGGTCCCAAACCAGGTCAACCGGATGACTGCTGCTGCCCCCACAGTGAACGGCGGCTGGTCCAGCTGGGCAGAGTGGTCACCCTGCTCCAACCGCTGTGGCCGCGGCTGGCAGAAGCGCACGCGGACTTGCACCAACCCTGCCCCACTCAACGGAGGAGCCTTCTGCGATGGCCAGGCCTTCCAGAAGACCGCCTGCACTACTGTGTGCCCAGGTAAGGCCCTGTCAGGTGGCACCCTCCCTTCTATGCTGGGGTATCTATCAGAATAGCTGTTCTCTCCCCATCACGGAGAGCAGGTGTTTGACCCAGAGCCCAGGACTGGCTGACCAGGTCCACTAGATGCCACAACCCATGACCTCTTGTTCTACCCTGGGCTGCTTGAGAGACTGACACAGTGGCTCTGAGCCTCAGTCTGAGGGCTGGACTCTTCTGCCCTCCAAGCCCAGGCTTCACGGTGTCAATCCCCAGGCAGGAGCCCTGAGCTGCTGGGGTCAGGGAGCCTGTGCTCCCTCACTTAGCAGTTGGACACACCTTCACCTCCAGCCCTCATCCTGCAGCAGTCTTCTCCTCCCCGCTGCCTCTTACTCTGTCCCGTCTGCTTGTCTGTCCCTGCACATGTGGCTGTGTTTCCGCCCTTTGGCCTCATGTTTGGGTGAGTCGAGTTGTTTGCCCTGGGTTTTGTCTCTGTGTGTCTACCAGTGCCCTGGGCTGCATCTGGGAATGACCGTGGGCATCTATTTGTGTTCCCCCTGGTGATATTTGTTTTTAAAGATTTATTGATTGATTGATGCATAGAAGAACTGGAGTGTAGGCCAGAGGTGAGGGGGTTAGGAGGATTCACCAGAGACAGAGTGGGGAGCAGAACAGGCAGATCTACAGAAATACACTGCTGAGGGGAGCAGCGGGCGAGACAGAAGAGGTCTGCTGTGCCATGTGGGTAGCTCCCTGGCCAGGGATCAAAGTCAGACCACAGAGATGATAGTGCTAAGACTTAACCCCTAGACCACCAGGGAGGGCCCTTTTTGTCCACCTGGTACACTGCATTGCATTGTCATGGAGTTGTGTGAATAGGGCATGGATTTCTGTGTATGGCCTATGTGTGTCTTGGGTTTCTCTTTCCATGCCACAATGTGTGTGTGTGTGGGGTGGGGGGTGTCTGTGTGTGGGTGTGTTCTCGTGTGCAGGTATATTGCTCTGTTCTGCACATACAACCATGTATGTGCATGTGTTTGGTCCATGTGCCGTGTGCTGTGCTCCCACAGTTGATGGAGCCTGGACGGAGTGGAGCAAGTGGTCAGCCTGTAGCACTGAGTGTGCCCACTGGCGCAGCCGTGAGTGCATGGCGCCCCCACCCCAGAACGGAGGCCGAGACTGCAGCGGGACATTGCTGGACTCCAAGAACTGCACCGATGGGCTGTGCATGCAAAGTGAGTTCTTGGGAAGGTGGGGGCTGGGGTAGGGACTCTGCAGCAGGATGAGGGGACACCCCAGGCCAACCATCCCCAGCCCTCAGTGCCTTTGGGGTCTGTGCCTACCTCCCATATCCATCATCTCATCTGTACCATGTCCCTGTCACCCTCTCCCCTACCCTTTCCCTGCACCTGTGTCATTGTCTTTCCCTTTATTTCCCTCGACAGATACGAAAACTCAAAGTGACCCCAAAAGCCACCGTAAGTCCCATTTCATCGCTGTCCTCTTTCCTTTGGGGGAATCCCTGGTTTTCTTGCCTGGTTTTCTAAGGTGTGAGGGGCAGGGCAAGGCAAGGGACAAGGAGAGGTGAAGATGCCCCTCCCCCACTGACCCCCACATTGGACTCCCCAGACCCAACACTTACCACAGTTATGGGCAGACGGGCAGATCCTTAGCTGCAGAAAGGCCCTAGGACACCATCTTGATCCTCCCATTACAGGAGGAGAAACTGACTCTCAGAGGGAAGGGACTCACCCAAGGATCCAGCCAGGATCCGAACCAAAATATTTCATGGCCAAAGCTGGTGCTCTAGCCTGATGCCCTTGTCCACCCCAGTGCCCCTCACTATCCTCCAGCAGCTGAATTGAAACTTCCCATGTTCTCTGGGTCTCCCGCTGCCCTACGTCAGCCCCCAAGGGCCTCATCCTCCAGCCCCCAGGGGCTATACCGAGCTGCAGTAACACCAGAGCAATAAAGCCACTTGAGCAGATTGGCCTGTAGTAATTAAACTACAATTTCCAAGTGATTCTGGAATCATAAAAACAGCAGCGAGACTCCCAGCCAGCTCACTGGGGGGGCCAGGCTGGTGACTGATTAAAGATTATAAATCACCAGGCAAGTGGCCTCCAGTGTCAGGAGAAGCAGAGCTGAGCCCAGGGAGTCAAAGGCCCCAGAGAAGTGGGAATCCAACCCTGAGCGGCCTCCTCTTGCAGTTCTTCTGCGAAGCCCACAAATGAGGGCTGGGCCCAGCAGGTGATGGACACACAGAGCCGAAAGCCAGGCCCTATCTTGCTGTAGGCCGAGTCCGGCACCAGGGCAGTGGTGCTTCAAGGGGTCCAGGCAGGGGAGAGAGAAGATACTTCCTGGAGCCCCCAGAAGAAGCAAGGGGAAGCATGGCCCTCCTGGCTCTGCCTGTGCTGTCCCATACTGGAGCCACTAGCCACATGTGGCAAGTTAAATTTCTGTCTAACTGAGTTGAAATGAAATGCATTTTAGAACTCAGCTCCTCTGCCACATCAGCCACATGTCAGTTGTCCAGGGGCCAAATATGTGGCTAGTGGCTGTCCTGTGGGGCAGCACAGAGATAGACTATTTCCATTGCTGTAGAAAGTTCCACTGGGCAGCCCTCCTTTAGACCCTGCATCTTTATTTCAAGCCGTGCAGCAGCCTGCCCTGCTCCCCACCCAGAGCACCCTCCAGCCCAGCAGCCTGCCTGGGGGAGGGATGCATAGCCATGGTTTGCCTCCCTTATTCCCTCCTTCACCTGCTCTCCATCCCATCGCCATGCTTCTCATTCCTCCTACTCCCCTCCTGCCCCCTCCCTTCCACTCTACCCTCAGAGCACAGGATGGAAGCAGAGCTCAGAGCAGCCACTTCCAAAGGTTTCTGGGAGCCTGGACCTTTGGTCCTATGGAAACTGCTATGAGCTGTGGTTCTAGGCTTAAATCCCAGCTCCGACAGGACCAACTGTCGCCAGATTCCCTTCACCTCTTCTCACCACCCTGGGAGGGAAGCAGGGCAGGGGAGGTGCAACCATTCTACTTATAGAGACTGATGCTCAGAGGACTTGAGCTCGCCGGCCCATCCTGGCAGGGCTTGGACCGGAACCCGGCTCAGCACCAACCTGTCCCGGGCCCTGCCTCTCCCCAGAGACCCCAAGCCCCAGGGTCCTGTCCCTCACATGGCCCTCCTATCCCCACAGTCCTGGAGGCCTCGGGGGACGTGGCACTGTACGCGGGCCTCGTGGTGTCCATCTTCGTGGTCGTGGCCGTCCTCATGGTGGTGGGGGTAGTGGTGTACCGCCGCAACTGTCGGGACTTCGACACCGACATCACCGACTCCTCTGCCGCCCTCACTGGGGGCTTCCACCCGGTCAACTTCAAGACTGCAAGACCCAGTAAGGATGTGGGACCTCCTGGGGTGGCAGGTGGTGGTAAGGCTCCCACCGGGTCATGGCAGCCAGCCAGCCAGTCATACCAGAGTCGGGGTTCCTGCTCCCTCCCAGGGTTTTCTAGAGTTGGTTCTGAGGACCACTATGTTGGTGAGTATGGATTAGAGAGATGCAGCAAAGGAAAAGGTGGCCCAGGTTGGTGGGTCCCCAAAGCATCCTACAGTGGGTGGCAATTGAACCTTTTGCAACTGGACATATGGGTGAGATTTTGCAACAGGAGGACCCGCGGCAGGAGCAAGGGTAAAACTGGGCCAGTGAGATGCTGCTGGGTCTGACTGGAGCCCCCATCCCTGCAGACAACCCACAGCTCCTGCACCCCACTGCACCTCCGGACCTGACAGCCAGCGCCGGCATCTACCGTGGGCCCGTGTATGCCCTGCAGGACTCAGCTGACAAGATCCCCATGACCAACTCGCCCCTGCTGGATCCCCTGCCCAGTCTCAAGATCAAGGTCTACAACTCTAACACCACTGGCTCTGGGCCTGGCCTTTCTGACGGGGCCGACCTGTTGGGAGTCCTGCCCCCTGGCACGTACCCGGGAGATTATACTCGGGACGCCCACTTCCTGCATCTTCGCAGTGCCAGCCTCGGCTCCCAGCAGCTCCTAGGCCTGCCCCGTGACCCGGGGAGCAGCGTCAGCGGCACGTTCGGCTGCCTGGGCGGAAGGCTCAGCATCCCTGGCACAGGTAGGCCCCTACTCTGCTTGTGTGTCAGCCTGGCTACAGCATGACCTCTCTGGACAGTTCATCACCCACCCCCCAGGGCCTAGGACTCCCTAGCCCCATTTCACAGATTGGGAAAGCGAGGCCGGAGGAAGAGATACAACTATACAGCAGAAGGTCTGGGGTCCATGTCTGTCTGCTTCGCTAGGGCAGGGGAACCTCGGACAAGCCACTCTCTCCATTTAAGTGAGAGAGGTGCCCCCTGTAGGTCAACAAGCCTACAGAGTGACTTCCTGGGCTCTAGCAGCAGGAAGGGCAGGGTGCCCAGCTCCAGTGGCAAAGGCAGCAATCAACAGTTTCCCAATGGCATTCACTGAGCTAGGGCTAGCGCTAGCACTGGTACCTCAGACTCCAGGTGTTTATCTCTACACCCAGTGCAATGCCAGAGACCAGGCTGGCTGTGCTCAGTGGCAAGGCCTCTCCCTGCACCCAGTCCCCAGACTCAAGCTGGGGCCACCTCTCACTCTAAGTTCTTGTACTCCCATCACCCCATCCCTATTGACCTCTCTCTCACCCTAGGGGTGAGCCTGCTGGTACCCAATGGAGCCATCCCCCAGGGCAAGTTCTATGAGATGTACCTCCTTATCAACAAGGCAGAAAACACCCTGTAAGTAGAAGCTCCAGAGAGGGCTGCCTCCTTTTCTCCCATCTGGGGCTCAAATATCACCATCTCTCCTTGTAAGACTGATCCTAAATTCAGATATAGTCTTTTAAGGAAACATGGATAGCTCTAAAAGGCATTTGACAGGCTGGCTACAATGTGACAAAGGACTGGTGTCCTCGTAGGTAGAGGTTTTAGGGATTTCACTAAAAATTAAACATCTCAGTATGAGAATGGGCAAAATGTATTAACAGGTGATTCACATACACTCTTATACCCTGACTCATACAAAGACACACATGCACATACAAATACACACACACACACACACACACACAATGGCCAATAGGTTATAAGAAAGTGTTCAGCCTAATTTGTAGTCAAAGCGATAGTAATTCAGACAGCCATGAAATATTGGGAGATGATTTTGCTTTGTGAATTTGCAGATTTTTCTCCAATGCTAACACCTTCCTATTGGCAAGCATGCAGGAACACGGCCCTCCCGTGGCATGCTGGTGCGAACACAGATTGGTACCAACTTTCAGAAGGCAGCTCAATGACACCTATCAAAAATAGTCCAAGAGTGCAGAACCTTTAAAAATGAAAGCAAAGATTTAGTGGTGAGACTGTTACAATGTAAAGTAAAAATTTGGAAAGTCTCAAGGTCTAAGCCACTTTTCTACCTCTCCTTAAACCCCTGATCCTGGGCTGGATGCCTGCCCTCCACCAGCCTGAGAGCAGAGCAGAGGTGGGAGACGGCCAGAGCTGGACCCTTGCTGAGCTTCAGCCTCCCCTCACTGCCTCCCTCCTGCCCTCTGCCCTGCCCCAGCCCGCTTTCAGAAGGGACCCAGACAGTATTGAGCCCCGCAGTGACCTGCGGGCCCACGGGCCTCCTGCTGTGCCGCCCCGTCATCCTCACGGTGCCCCACTGTGCCGAAGTCAATGCCGGTGACTGGATCTTCCAGCTCAAGACCCAGGCCCATCAGGGCCACTGGGAGGTGAGGAGCCCTGGCTGGGCGAGCCAGCTCGCTGAACTCCCAGGGACTCGGGAGGGAACCAAAGCCCTTTTCCTCCTGGCCCAGCCTGGACGGACCCTTCTAGGACCTTGGCTGTTTCCCATCTGCTTCACCCCACTCCCACTCTGCAGGAGGTGGTGACCCTGGACGAGGAGACCCTGAACACCCCCTGCTACTGCCAGCTAGAGGCCAGGTCCTGCCATATTCTGTTGGACCAACTGGGCACCTATGTGTTCACGGGTGAGTCCTATTCCCGCTCGGCAGTCAAGCGGCTCCAGCTGGCCATCTTCGCCCCCGCTCTCTGCACCTCCCTGGAGTACAGCCTCAGGGTCTACTGTCTGGAGGACACGCCCGCAGCACTAAAGGTAAGGCCCAGCCACAGGTACTCAGACACTGTGGGTGCATCCCCTCAGCCCTTGCCAACCAGCTGCATAGTGCCTGCCAGTATCCCCTTCCTCAGGATCATGGTACCTTCCAGGCACCCCTCTACCTCCATCAGCCTCATCCGCTCGTTCCTCAAGTGCTGGAAGGGCATCAGACCCTTGAGATAAAGAGATGTCCTCGCCAAGTCCCAGCCTAGAGGGGGAAACAGATGGGGTGTCACTGACAGAGGGCTAAGGGAGCACCATACTGGGAGGGGTGGCAGGGCCTGGGTTGTTGGGAAGGGGGTCTGAGAAGACTTCACAGCAGAGCTAACCTTAGACCTGTGCTCTGACCGACAAATGGGAGTTCCGGGCTGAGAAGGGGAAGGGGCATTCCAGGAGATCGCAGCTCATACTCAGGCAGGTGTGTCCTTCCTTGTGAACAGGCGCGCAAAGGATATGAGTGAGTGAGGAGAATTGGGTGGGCTCAGCTTCCCAATAACTTGGCAGCCATGCCAAGGAATTTGGAACCTGTCCAGTGGGAAGGCGCACAGACCTGGAGACCTGTTCACAGGTGCTCTTTGAGCTGTGGCTACACTGCCAGGGTGGGTAGATGAGAGGCAACTGGATCCTGTGCCAGGATGGGTAGATGAGCGGCAACTGGACCCTGAGCTTCCTGGGCAACAGGCAGTGTCCATGGCGAGGAGCAGAGGAGCAAGGGCTGGACTGTTTTGTTGGTGGAATAGACATAACCAGTGACTGATGAGATGGGCGGGGGAGCAAGAGGAGCCGGAGCCCACAGCCAGGCTTCTGGTGTATGCTAACGACCCGACAGCACCCCTAAGTGGGGCTGTGCCAATGAAGGGTGGTCTGGTGCAGGGAGGGAAGGAACTCAAAGGGACCAGAGTTTGCCACCTGATGATGGCAGGTGTGGAGTCCTGTGTTCGTACCACTCAGTCCACTGTCCCCTCCGCCTCAAAGTCCTAGTCCATTCTTCCACCCTGTGCCTAGCGCCCCAGTCTCATCTGGACTCATCTGGAATTAGGAAGAGCATAAACCCTTGGCTCTGTTTAAACTTCCCTTTCCTGTCTCTATCCTTCCATTCACCTCTCCACGAAGCTTCGTGGTCCTCTCCCAGAGTGCCTTGCCTCCTCCACCGCGGTCTGTGATGCCTTTCTGCAACTTTGTCTCCCAGTCTCATGCCACTTGGCTCAAACTCCAGGCTGCAGACTGATGCAACTTAGGTGAAAAGGCCTCCAGGGAGGGTGAGAGTCCTGCTGAGACCAGGCTCACCTGAAATTCCATGAGGCCCATAATGGGTTGGAGACTCCTGGGAAATGGTCTTGCTGCTTGGATCTCTCAGCCTGAGGGCACTGGCTGATTCTCTAGTTTTGGTCAGAGAAGGGAATTCAGATCAAGAGGGAAGTTGCCATTTTTCAGCTTGATGGAATTCTTTGTTGATTCACTCCCCACCCATCCATCCATTTGTACACTCCTTCGGTCAACAGTCACCTGTTCCTCCAGATATCTTTCCATTTATAATCCGTCTGTACATCCATCTGTCCGTCTCCGTGTATCCAGTCATCTGCCTGTCTATTCATCCACCAATCCATCTATCCATCCAGTCACCTATAAATCCATTCACCCATCCATCTGTCCACTGTATGTTCATTCATCCATCCATTCATCTCCCTATCCTGTGAGCCAGCTGTGAACACTTAGAAATGCCCAGCAGTGTGCTCAGATGAGTTCTTGCCCTTGAGGTGACAGCCTGATTGCATCCGCCTGCCCTCCCTTGCCCCAGCCCCTAAGCTTGCAGCAGGGAAGAGCCCATTGGTCAAGTGTGATGGGCTCCCCTTCCATTGTCCCCCGGCCCTCAGGAGGTGCTAGAGCTGGAGCGGACTCTGGGCGGCTACCTAGTGGAGGAGCCAAAACCTCTGCTGTTTAAGGACAGTTACCATAACCTGCGCCTCTCCCTCCACGACATCCCCCATGCCCACTGGAGGAGCAAGCTGCTGGCCAAGTACCAGGTGAGGCTGGGCCAAGGAGGGGAGGGATGGGGCTGGGAAGAGGGCACACCTGAGGACTGCTCAGGGAAGACCAGTCCCCCTTCCCTAGTCCAATCCCCCTTCCCTCTCTCATTACCCTCTCTGTGTCGCCCTCTCACCCCACTCTCCACACTCCAGGTCATCTTAGGCATATGCTCGCATGCCACAGCCACACCCACACGCAAATATCTGTACACATCATCATCAAACAGGCCTTCCCATCTCTAAGCGTTCACATCTGGGAGACCATACAAACTATCTGATGGTCACATCCCTCTGCCCCCCAATCTGTGTGACACCAGCCCCAGATACCCATGAAAACACACACTGACCATCAGACTGTGCCCACACACTGACCATCAGACTGTGCCTTTCCTGCACACTCCTTTCTTGGAAGGAGCACTGTTGACCGGTTCTTCCTCTGCCCATCTGGGTGGAGAGGCCTGGTCTCTCCCCCCTCCCTGTGGCTGACCCCATTACTGCCTCAAGGGCAGGGTAGACTGTGCTTTTCCTTGACCCTGACCCCCACATCCTCCCAGGAGATCCCCTTCTATCACATCTGGAGTGGCAACCAGAAGGCCCTGCACTGCACCTTCACCCTGGAGAGGCACAGTCTAGCCTCCACAGAGTTCACCTGCAAGATCTGCGTGCGCCAGGTGGAAGGAGAAGGCCAGATATTCCAGCTGCACACTGTGTTGGCGGAGGTAAGGGCTAGAGGACAGACAGCCGTGAGGTTTGCAAACCCCAGACTACCCAGGGGCACAGTGCAAAGCAGTATAAAGAGCTCTGGGTGTAGGTCTAGATCAGGCTTCCTAAGAGCATCGTGTGACCCCAGGCTAGTCACTTCCAGGTGATGAGACTGTGACCCACCTCTTCCTGTGAGCATCAGCCCAGGGAGACATCAACAGGATGCATGCCAGGGCTGGGGTTGGGTACGCCTCTCTGGCCCTCTGGCTGACTGTCCCTGGAAAAAGTCCTTTTGGATTGAGCCGCTGGAGCCTTCCTGGAGAAAGTGGGGAGTGGCCATGGGTTCACAGTCCCCAGGCAGGAAGCCAGAGAAGCAAATGCACAGGGAGTACTCTGCCCCTCACACCATTGCGCTGCCTTTCCAGACGCCCGCTGGCTCCCTGGATGCCCTCTGCTCTGCCCCCAGCAGCTCAGTCACCACCCAGCTGGGACCCTATGCCTTCAAGATCCCGCTCTCCATCCGCCAGAAGATATGCAACAGCCTGGATGCCCCCAATTCTCGGGGCAACGACTGGCGGCTGTTGGCACAGAAGCTCTCCATGGATCGGTGAGTGCAGGCTCAGGTACACCCCACCCGAGCCAGGCACACTCCCCACCTTCTTTTGGACTGAAGGGGTCGTGCCAGCTGGTAGGCTGACCTCTCAGGATCAGATGGCACCAGAGGCAGCAGAGCAGGAGCCCAGGCTTGGACGTGCTAAGTCTGAGAAGCCGCTTCCTGGAGCGTGCTCTGCTCAGATTTTGGTCACTGAGAATCAGATAAAACCCACACCAGCCAGGGTGCACACCTCAGTGCTGCAAGCTCAGGATGGAGCACATGCTCTAGAAATGCTTGCCAAGGGTACAGTGACCCCTGAACAGCGTGACTTAAACCTTGCTGGTCCACTTACCGTGGGTTTTCTGGTGAACGGTGGAAACTTGCCTCAGTGAAAAATACAGTCTGGTGCTGTGAATGTGTTTCCCGTTCCATATGATTTTCTTTCTTGGCTTCCTTTATTGTAAGAACATAGTATGTAATACATGTAACAAACAAAATATGTTATTTAACTGCTTGTGTTACCAGTGAGGCTTCCAGTCAACAGCAGGCCATTAGCAGTTAAGTTTTAGGGAGAGTGAAAAGTTCTATGCGGAGTTTGGACTGCATGGGAGGAATGGCATTCTAACCCCCTGGGTGTTCAAGGGGCAGCTGTATGTCTTAGTGTCAGAAGTTTGCTCGAGAACTTTAAATGCTGGCAAAGCATTTACTAATCCTGCACTGAGCAGAAGTCACCTATGAGACATCTAACTAGAAAGGGGTGGACTTACAAAGACATCCAAGGCTCCCCTTGCTATCAGGGTGTGCATGGGCAAGACCAGACAGGGAACAGGTGGGAGGAAGAGGGGAATGAAGTGCTCGGGGTGCTCGGGTTGGCCGTCTCCCCCAGGGCCCCTGTCTTTTAGCGGCAATAACAATGATAATGAATGATGAGCAAGAAGACAGTTTCCATTTTTGAGTGGAGGAGACTGAGTCTCAGAGAGGTGCAGTGCCTTGCCCAGGGCCACACAGCCTGTAAGCAGAGGATTCAGATCCAGGATTGTGGGGCTCCAAAACCCACAGGCCTCCCTCCTCCTGGTGCTTCCTCCACCCCCAGCTCCGGGAAGGTCTGACGTTCAGGGAACCCAATTCTCTCTTTTTTCCTCAATCAGGTACCTGAACTACTTTGCCACCAAAGCGAGCCCCACAGGTGTGATCCTAGACCTCTGGGAAGCTCTGCAGCAGGATGACGGGGACCTCAACAGCCTGGCCAGTGCCTTGGAGGAGATGGGCAAGAGTGAGATGCTGGTGGCCATGACCACTGACGGGGACTGCTGAGCTGCCCTAGACAGCTGGTAGGGACTGGCAGGAGGCGGGCACAGGGAGGCCCAGGGTGGCCTTCTGCAGGGCAGCGTAGCCTCTGCCTTCTCTGCCAGGTCACAGCCGGAGTCGCCCCTGCCTCCTCCTCCCCTTGCGCAACCCCCACCACAACCAGCCTTAGGAGGCCTGAGTACTCCGCTGTTTCGAGACCCCGTGTTCTCTGTCCCCTGCTGTCTCTCCCGCCTCGCCTCTGTGTGGAAACTGGAATGAGGCTGCAGCCTCCAGAGGCAGGGGAGCAAGGAGGTGGCCCTCCCTCCCCACCTCAGCCCTAGGACTTCTGGGTTCTGTTTGTTCAGTTTCCTTCTTCATTTTCTTCCTCAGTTATTGATTTCTCCTTCCTTCCTCAGCCCCGCTTCTTCTTTCACACTATTTTTCTCTCTGAAGAGTTAAGTACAATTCAGACAGACTGCTTTCTCCCATCCAAAAGCAAAAAGGAAAAGGAAAAAAAAGAAAGAAAGCTTCAGACCGCTAGTAAGGTTCAAAGAAGAAGAAAAACACCAAAACCACAAGGGAAAAGAAAAACCCAGTTTCTTAGGAAACGCAAATGATTTATTATCCAGATATTTGGATAAGTCCTTTTTAAGAAAAAAGAAAAAAAAAAGAAAAACAACACAAAAAAATAGAGAACTCTTTTCTTGGGTGTGGATGAGTGTGGGCACGCTCGTGGTTCTGGCCAGGAGCGTGTGTGCGTGTGTGCGTGCGTGCGTCAGGAGAGAGACTGAGCAGAGTGCACTTGGCTGCTAATGTCTTACACTAAATTCTCGCCAGGCCTGTTTTCCCCAGTTGTACAGGGCAAATGGTTTCAACTGGGTACCTAATTTCCCTCTAAAATCATAAGCAGTCACTGAATGCATAAAGCCAAGGAGACCTGAGGTCTGGAGTGGGGTGGGGGCCTCCCATGGGTCAGCCTGTAAGCTCCTCTGGGCTCCTGGGAATGCAGATTAAAAGAGTCGGGGCGGAAAGTGTGGGTGGGCCAGCTGTGAGCCAGGGAGAATGTTTCCAGTGCCACATCTGGGGGCTCTGGAGAGAGGGTGTGGCATAGAAGAGGGGCCCTAGCAGAGAATGTGGGAGATGAGACTCCCACATTCAGCAGCTGCCTCCAGCCAGGTGGCTAGAGCAGGTTGGCATCCTCTAGAAGCCCAGGAACCTGGCTATTCCCAGCTCAGTTTCTCCTGCAAAACAGAAGGGATGCATCCGAGGGCCTCCCTAGCTGCAGAAGCCCGAGCTCCTGGGCCTCGGTACTGCTCCTAGGAGCATGTTAGCAGTCAGCCCTGCGGCGTGGGAGGCTGCGAGGCTGGGTGGCCTGGCTGTGCTTTACACGCCAGCTCAGAGTGGAAGAGGAAGGGTGGAGGGCTATTTTCCCACCTCTGATCTCCACAGGCACCTCCCTTCAGCCCTCATCTCACCCTCCCTTTGCAGTCTAAGTGACCCTGAAGGAAACCAAACAGGCAGGGTTGCCAGAGTGGAGGGATTGACACCCCTCACCAGCCTGTCCCAGAATGTACCTGGGGTCAGCAGGGTCTCTTTTAGGCTAACTGGCCATGCTGGGGCCAGGACCCCAAGCTGGCATGGAGGCCCCATCAAAGGCCTCTCCTTGGCACCCAGGACAAAGCAAATGCCAGTTCCCCCTGACAACTCTGGGCACTGACCCCAGGACTTGCCCCAGCAGGTCTCCAAGCAGCCGCTCAGGGGGACCCGCCTGGGCACATCCAGGCCTTTGAAAGCCTGGTCTCCTGGAAGGAAAGCAGGTTTTAGGACTGCAGTCCCAGCTAGCATCCTGGTTTACCTGTCCTAGACTTGAGGGTTTATGGGGTTTCTCACATCCACTCATCCCCCTGGGGTGTGGGCTGGCTGTGAGCAAACAAGGACCTGTTTAAAGGTTTGAGAGAGGATCCCTTTTGTGAGGGCTGCTATGCTGGATGAGACGAAGCCTTCACCCCAGGCTTCAGGCCCTGTGGCTAGCCTCCCTAGTCACTCCTAACAGGAGCCTTGTAGGCCTGTGCAGTATAGCATGGCTTAGAGGCAGCCTGGAGTCCAAAGACCAGCACTCAAGCTCCAACTTTGCCATTAAACTGCTGTGTGACCCCTCGGCATGTGATTGCTTTCTCTGGGCCCCGTAGCTGCTGTCCAAAGCCCTTTGGGTAATGACATGCTTTGATTTTAGTCTTCTGATGGAACCCTAGTGAGCAGAAATTGACCATGGCCTGTCATGCCCTTCTCCTGCCCTTTCCTGCCCTCCCCTGCCCTGCTCTCAAAAGCCTGCTCACTCCAGCACCCTGGAGGGGCCTCTGGGTGGATGAGGTCAGGCCAGTCACTCATGTGCCATTTCTAATCTGATCTTCAAAAACTGTGTACCAGGGCCTGGAGCACAGAAAAAATTGGCAGGAGCCTTCTGGGAGGGTTCAAACTGCCCAGCTTTATAGGAAGGCTGGGAAAGGATTTGCTGGCTCCATCAATTTGCTGAGTCTCCTGTGACTACACCCCCTCTCTGCCTGCCTCAGGGTGAGAGTGAGATTTCTCTTATTTGGGTCCAAGAGGCAGCCCCACATGGCCCAGGTGCCTTGAGAGCTGCAGATCAGGTGCTGGAGCCGGGCCTGCAGGGCCCTCGAATGGGCGTTCCGTCTCTCCTCTCCAGGGTGTGTTTGCACATGGTGCATGTGCATGTGCCCTGTGTGTGTGCTTTTATCCACAGGCACATCAGGGTGCACCCCCTTGTGTGTGTGTGTGTTGTTTGTGTGTGTGTGCTTTCCTCACGTCCCAAGCTTGGACGCCTAGAGGTTGGCGGGTCTGTGTTCTGCCCTCTCTGAGTCCACAGGGTCAGTCGGTGTATCTTCTACGTGCCTCTCCCTCTGCCTTCTCTCGAAGTGCCCCTGGCTCCAGAGCTCCGGGGCAGGGGTCCTCATGAGGACTCGGAGGACCCTCCCCATCTCCTGGATGATCCAGGGCTCTCTCGTCCCCTCCCCCAGCCCCAGGCAGCTGAGCCAGTTCCCTCGGCAGGCCCTCTGAAGGGAGGTGACCAGGAACTTGAGTGCAGGGAGCAGCTCTCCTAGGGACAAAGGGCTGGATCCCCTGCCTGGGCCACGGACATCATTATATGTTCAGGGGAGGGGGTGTTTGGGGTTCCAGGGATGACCCCAATCCCACCTCTGTTTATTCTGTAAACGACAACCTGTAAATAACGTTTAGCATTCCTCTTGTAACAAAATTAATTTTTATGAAATAAATTATATTTCCTAGTCTAATAAAAAAAAAAATCCAGGTTGTATTCTGCTGTCTTCGTGACTGTCTTTCTAAGTAAGAGTAATTAGGAAATGACCTTCCTGCTTTCCTCAAAATTTGTGAGTTTGAAGGGGTAGCCACGGTCAGAACTCAGTCAGCTCAAGCTCAACTGTCTCTTTCAGAAGGGAAAATTGGCTCAGAGAAGGACAAGAACTTGCCTGTGGTCACACAGCAAGGTAGAGCCCATTCTGGCTCTGGGTCCCCGTCCCTGCTCCCTGAATCAGTGCCCTCAGTGCATTAGTGTTCATATGTTCAGGGGACAGCCCTTTGTGCCTGCCAGTGCCCTCTCAGCTATCCCGGCAGCGCGGGGGGCTGGCTCAGCCAACACCTTCCTTGCTAGGAGTTGAGTGGGGGCAAAGACAAAGATGAAGCCCCGATGTTCCTGTCTGCCTGTGAGAACATCAGAAGGGTGTATCCAGGCTGAGGCTGAGGTTAGTTCAGTGCACAGCCCACCCCTGGGACAAACAGTAGCGTGCAGGCAGGCTGGGATCGCGTGACTTTGAGCGCACGCTGTCACGCAGGCTGGGTGGGTAAAGGCACTGGACGGGCACCACATGTAAGGGAGGGTGGGGCTCTTCCCACGTAATCAAATTACACAGATGTGTGTGTTTACTGGGAGTGTTTCCAGCAGATGGCGCTGAAGGGTCTTGTTTCAATAAAAGCAACATACTGGGTCCTAATTTGCCCACAGAATGAAGTATCTTGAGGGGGTGTTTTTCCTCTAATTTGCACGAAGGTGCAATAGGACCACAGTGGTCCTGTTTCAGGGGGCCTCCTCTGCCCTAAGGATCCCAGACCTGGGACCAGTATTTCCCAGCTTCCTCTGCCTGCTCTGTGAGTCCATTCTGTGGTCTCTTGGGCCCAGTCCTAGAAAGGCATGATGTCCATCCTGAGCACATTAAAGGCTAACATTCCGTGTGGTTTGGCCGTGGAACCCTCTTTTGATCCTCTCATGCCTTGAAGGATTTAGTTTCTACAGATACTCCAAGCTGTGACTTTCAGGGACCTGTGGCTCTGAGGTGTGTGCCAAGTAATGCCTGGCAGTGTCCCTGGGGTAGGATTTACCTGTGGGCTACCGCTTCTGGGAGCTCATCACCCAGTAAAGGAGGCAGGCCAGGCAAGGCACATTTGCACACATGTACACAGACCCACCAGCTCAGGTTGCCTTTGTTTGCCGAGGGCTCAAATTATCCCAGTTGCCACATTCCTCTGCGTGTGTGTGTGTGTGTGCGTGCGCGCGCGTGTGTAGGGAAAGGGGTGTGGCAACTAGGAGGGGTGAGGCAGATTCAGTGTGGGACAGTTATTTCATCCAAGTAGCTCCATAGGCAGGAAGTTTGGGGTTGCCCCAGAAGTCAAGGCTACCCACTTAACTGCCTTACCCTCTACCCAGCATCCAAGCAGAAGGGCTCCTCCTTGCCACCTGTCCTTTGGTGGGGTACAAGGAATTCTGACCTGGGAAGCAGGGGTTCTTGTGTTCTAGTTCTGGTGCCGTGTAATTCACTCAGCCCCCTCAGCCTGTTTCTCCTCCCATGAAGTATGGGGCCTAGACCCTTTGCTCTGTAGGGACTCTGGTTGGCATAGTTCTGTTACTTAGGGTGTTTTGTTTCTCCGCAGAAGTGTGACAGCCCCCCTCCCTGGACCCTTCTCTGTCACATTCCCAAGGGGGGTTGAGGAAAAACCAGGACTCAGCAGAAGAGGGGCTGGCTCTGACCCCATGACCAAGGGACTGCCCAGTGAGGTGACAAAGCTGGCCCACATGGCCAGGCAGCCCACCAGCCTCAGGTCACCCACTGCCGCCCATGCTTGAAGGGTTGGCGGGGCAGCGGGCAGCCAGCTTTCCCTCCTCCGCTAGGGGCCATGGGAAGAGAAATCCATTCTGCCCCAACCGCTGGAGGTCAACAAGAAGACTTCATCTTGTTCCGCTCAGCAAATTGTTAAAAAATATTTGTCCATACTTGACTGTGGCTTAGAAAAATTCAAAAGATAGAAAAGACAAGGTAAAAAGAGTAGCTTCCGCGCTCTCTTTCCCTCCCCTGAGCCAGATGAAGACCCAGAAAGGCACTCATTACATCTCTTCTATGTCCTCTCAGGAAGATCTCTGCATATACAAACATGTACTTGCTCATGTAAATATTTAAATATAATGGATTTGATCCAAGAGTCTCAACCCCTCGAGGCAGAAATATAAAATAGTTTAATTTTTTCCAATAAGTGCTTGAAAATTCATTTTGTCAACACCAGCTTCCCCACTGGAGAGCAGCTCCCTTAACGACGTCTCTACGGAGGTCCCTAACTTTCCCCACTCTTGCTATTATTAAGACAGTTTCATTTTGGTTACTAAGGCTCAGCCCATTCATCTTAGAACTCCATCCTTAAAGCCCTCCTTGGGTCTCTGAGCTGGCCCCCCGGGGCGTGCGACTGCCTGCTCCCCAACCTCCCGCTGCTGCCCTCTCTTCCCTGTCTCAGCCAATGACTCCCGGCTCCCAACGACAAGAAGTCGCCCTCTTCTAAGCTCTTTCCTTTGGAGCGCAAAGCTACCATCAAACCGACTCCCACCTCCTTCACGGGGCACAATTCTCACATCAAGTCTTCTTAGAATGGGCACTGGAGTGTCAAATGAACTTCTCAACCATAATCCCAGCCTAGGCACACATTCCAAGGACAGGAGGAGTTTGAGATTAGAAACTCCCAAGTCCTGATTTCTCAAAACACACATTGGTCTGGCAGGGAATGGGGTTCCATGCTTGCTGTTCTACAGCTCATGCAGCACATTGTGGGGCCCCTCCTTGGTACAGGGCTGGGCAGCACACACCAGAGCCAGTCGTCTGGAGGGGAGTAGAGAAACAAATGGGGACGGGGGCATGGAAGTTCAGAGAAACCCTGGTGAAGCCTGGGGTTCCAGAGAGGCTTTCTGGAAGAGACCCTATTTTAGAATTTTGGAGTTGCATCCCCTGAGACATAACTTTTTAATTATGCAAAAAAAGAGAGGCTTTTTAGGCAAAATTTTGCAGCAACTTTCTTTTATGAAACTTCTAAGAGAAGGTAGCTCCATAGGAAGTTGTAATTTCAGGTTCACACAGATCTGCTCCTTGACCTTGGGATGGACTCACAGAATGCTGGGCCTCAGGGCTTTGTAGGCCAAGGATCAGAAGCAAAGGACTCCAGGATCCAGGCTTCTCAGTCAGGTAGATAAGAGAAGCATCCACATCAACACTTCAGAGACATGTGCCCTCTCAGCTGTTTTTTGAAACATAAGTCTGTCTCAGCACACCATTTACTTCCTATTCTTGCTAGCTTTTTGGGTAAAACAGGAGGTTTTATGTGTGGTGAAATGCCCTTGGCCTCAGTGCAAAAAAGGGCAATAGGGAGAAATGGAGACTGTGGCTAACTGGAGACCCTTGAAGTCCACCAGAAGGGAGTGGCCCTCATTGGAGCTTAGATGTGTGGTTGCCAGGCAGACATGTGTTCCCAGGGTTGCTTGCTCTAGCCTCTTGCTTTTAGAAACCAGAAATCAGGTCCATTTGTAACTGTTGGCTCAATTTTTTAAAAAACAGTAATTAGGCCAAACAAGACCCACCCTGTTTATGATCTGCTGTGCAATGCAGAGCCATGGAAAGGTTTTGAAACAGGGAGGGTCAGGGTCAGAGGTGCTCTGGTTCGGGGGTTCACTAGCTGGCACAGGGTCCTGTGTCCCTAGCCCTCTATACAGACAGCCAACATGTCCCTGCTTGGCCACTGCTGTCCCCTGGTTACATCAGAGGAACAGTGGCACCTGCCCCAGCTCCCCTCCCACATCCCTTCATGGGATGGTGGCCTTGGCTGGTCTTCCTCCCAGGAGCCTTTCTTCCCTGATGAAACCCAGGGCAGGCTTAGCTGCCAGGCCCACAAGTCCCAGCAATTCCCCTAATGCCAGGTGCCCAGGGACAGGTGGCCAGTACTCAAACCAGTAAATACTGTGATTACCCAAGGTGGTTACACTAGGCCGAGCCACTCCTGTGGCTGAGCTGGAGGGCTAGGATGGTGTGTTACAGGGAGTAGTTGAAGGGATGGGTCAAGTCCTAGGTTCAGGAAGATCTATATCACAGACTTCTAGGAGGGCAGAGGTGGGGCCCACAATCTAATCCATCCAGTCTGATGCCAGAACTCCTGCCACAATGGCTGAGATGTGGACTTATCCAGAGCTATTCGAGTTTGTTCAGACATGGGGAACTCAGGAATAATAGCTGGCATTTAATGCATTTGTATTTGATTTTACCTTCAAGAATCACTGGGAATAAGTCTAAGTCTACCACTCCATTGCAGCTTTTTAAGACATTGGAAAACAGCACTCATGGTCCACCTTGGTGCCTTTTCTCTTCCGCCCAAATGTTCCTGTTTCCTCACAAGACTTGATTCAGCATCCAGGTGCCTCACTGGGTCCCTTAGGTTGGTGGAGAATTGCCTCAGTTTCTCAGCACCCACAGGGGAATAATGAGGGCACCCACATCACAAGGCATGGGAGGCATGAAGCCATCAAATCTGGGAAGAACCTCGCACAGGGCCGTGGCTCCGGGGAGACTCAGGAAACAGAAAATTGTCGCAGATCAGCTGGGAACCTAGCAGGACAAGTTTTAGCACCTGCCTGACCTGGGTTTGATCCCAGATTCCATCATCTTTCAATGCAACCTTCTGAAAAACCCCCGAGACTGCGGATATTCAAACAACAACATGGGAATGATAAGCCCTTCTTGTGGCCTTAATATGTGGATTAAATGGGATGCATATAAATATTTAGAGTAATAAATACTAGTCTTTTTTCATTTTGTCTGTATCAGCATCAATAACATTTGCAGGGGCCTCCCCGGTGGCGCAGCGGTTGAGCGCTGGGTTGCGAAGCTGCCAGCAGCCTCTGCAGCGCCAGTTCGATCCCCGGCTGCTCCCCAGCCACCGGAGGAGGGTCCCACATGGCGTGCAGACCTCTCCTGCTGCCCGCTGCTCCCCTCAGCAGTGTACTTCGGTCCTTCTGCCTGC